AAATGATTCTGTCTCAAAGTATGTAAGTCAATTCCTTACCTTGTGTCGGAGATCTCAGACGATGATGTTCTTTTGCATCAACGTTTAATTTTTTATTTTTAGGCAACCTATGCCCGTAGGAGCCTGCTTGTGGTTATTACTTTCTTATACCTAATATAAGGAAGTATACAGTAATTGTGATTTTTTTCGACCTCGAGATTTTGATTGATATATACGTTTTGAACCCTCCTGAATCCATTCTGACTATTGTCCGAATGATGTCTGTCGGTGCGCGGTGCGTGTGTGAGCGCGTGCGTGTGTGTGTGTGTGTGTGTGTGTGTGTGTGTGTGTGTGTGTGTGCGTGTGCGTGCGTGTGTGCGTGCGTGTGTGCGTGTGTGTGTGTGGGTGCGTGTGTGGGTGGGTTGTATGTGTGTATCCGCGAAAACTTAAAAACTATCAATGAGAGAATTCTCAAATTTGACAATTACGATATTCAACAACATCTTAGGTGACACATTAAATTTGGTGAATGTGGTGCCACCAGAACAATAATGAATGAAAGAAGAATAAAGGTACAATTTCTGGAAAAAAAATTCTACATTTTTTACTGCATTTCTGGACGAATCTCGATGAATTACATACCTTTAGGAAAAAATCTGTCTGCATGTCTGTAGTATTGCGATAGCAGCCACAGTTTTTGAGATAATCTTTGAAATTTGGTACACATATTCTAAAGTTCAAAGTCAATGATAAATTCGGTGATGAACAAAATTAGCCTGCTGAACCTTTTTTGTATTTGACTATAAAAAAATATATTCTTGATGAAAGATTATAAATCAGGCCTATTACATCATGCCAATAAAATATATGTTCCAAATACTTAAACAAAGCTGATAGAATCAGAAATTTTGTACACATCTGACCTCATAAAGTGGGGTTAGGATAAATTTGGCAATTTGACATTTGAAATGTCTAATTTAGTTACAAAAAATGTTAATATGTCAATGAGAACAAATTATTAAAAAATATGACATGAATTATTATTGACAGTATCGTAAGACGCTGATAAATTAATTATGTAAACATTTTATTGAAGCATTTGAATGTACATTTTTAAAATTTAATTGAGGTAAGTCAAGAATTAAATTAGAATGATTTTTTTTAGATCGAGATAATATACACTGTTGTTAGAAAGTTATGTGCTGACCACATCAGATATTTTGTTTTTAAAACAGTCACTGATTTTGTTCAAATTAAAGTATAAACTCTCGATTACTTTGTTAATATCTATGCAATGACCTCATATAACCTAACACTATATTATTTAAGAGTGTGTCGTGGACAATGCAATCTAAAGCCTTCGATAAGTCTACGAGGATTGCGACAATTTTATTACCATGATCAAGATTTGTGTATATGATGTTTAATATATTTTAAAGTGATGAAATAGTCGATTTATTTTTCCGAAAACCATGTTGTTGCATCGTAAATAAATTGTTAGATTCTAAGAACTCTACTATGCGATTTCATATTTATAGACAATATCTACTATGCGATTTGGTAATATTTTTTTTAAATATTGACAACACACAACCACACACACGCACTGACAGACATCATTCGGAGGATAGTGAGAATGGATTCAGAAGGATTCAAAACGTATATATCAATCAAAATCTCGAGGTCGAAAAAAATCACGATTACTATACTTCCTTATATTAGGTATAAGAAAGTAAAAATTATTAAAATATATGATATGAATTTATTACTGACAGTATCGAATGACGCTGATAATTAATTATTAAAAAATTGTAATGAAACATTTCAAGGTACGCTATTAAAATTTAATTGAGGTAAATGAAGAATTAAATAGAAAGATTTTTTTTAGATCAGGATAATATATACTGGTATAAGAAAGTTATGTGCTGGCCACATCAGATATTTTTAATAGATAAACAATTTTAGACAGTTTTAACCAATCTTGAAAGATACCATGTCTAAAACAGAAATTGATCATGTGACATAGAGGAATAGTTGGTTTCGTTTTTATTCAAAGTTATAAATTATTTAACTGACTGTCTAATACTTCTCAGTAATTAAGTTTTCATGCCCCTAGCTTGCCAGCCCGTCATATTTCATGCTTATTATACTTATGTGTCTATAGAATAAAAATATTCTTCTGTTTTCCCCACTTTATTACATAAAGTCTCATATTTGTGATTATTTTATGAATGATCTTGATATACTTATTTGCAATTTGAGTGTAATAAAATAATTGTAAGTTATATTGAGTTTAACTTAAATTTTTAGTTTTTGTGTTATTCAAGTTGTTTTACTTTACATTTCGAATGTATATTCCGGTGACTATTTCTTCTTTGCTCTTTTTTTGTTGCGTTTATTCCACAATTGTCCTACACAGGTATACCATTGTTAATTAATAAAAAAAGTACTTAGATTAGCTTATTAGTAGTTGAAAAAAGATTTATTGGGTAAGGGTACTTATTTTGAGAAAAACTACTTCATCAACTGTCCCACGTTTAGGTAAATTTTATTACCATCCTCAGGACACTACAAGATTCCTTAATGAATTATGTTTATTAAGGAATTAAATAAAGGTTTAATAATATAAAAGCATGTTTTTATTTTATTACTTTCTTTTGAATAGAATTTTTACTGAGGAATATTTCATTTGAATTAATTTATTTAAAATATATGTTTCAAACTCGACCTAGATAAACTTAATTGAATATGCTGAACAAATATGTTTCCTACATATTACTGAGCATTATGAAGATAATTATACATATATACTTTAACTTTTCATTTCAATTTTAAAGGATAAATATTACTTATCAACCTATTAAAACTTTGTGAATATATTGCAGATAGTTTATATAAATAGTCAAAGTTAAAAGTCGTCATTACAATTCTGACAGCATTAATGCATGAATAACTTTGAAAAAAATGCATTTTTACAACATACATAATTGTGTGCGAATGTTTGGAGCTTCAGGATTACATCCTGAAAAACGAGGAAGCAAAGTACAATTGCTATTATATTTAGTATGCAATTTTTCTGTGGTCACTGGCATGTATTTGTGTGCGCGATTAGTGGTTATTAAAGGAGAATCTTCGACTAGGCAAGATATCACACATCTTGTAGAATCAGAATTAGTATTATCTCATGTAAGTTTAAAATATGACCTGATTTGTATATCAATGTTTTGTTTATCATTTACCACAAAATTAAATATCAATCCTCCAGAGATATCTTAATTGTTTTATTTTTATTTACTGCTAAATATCAATTCCACTTTTAGTGATAGTAAAGTAGAATTAATTTCTTTTGCATTTCCACTATTATAGAACAATTGTGGTACAAAATTTCAAAAGGACTTTTATCCATTTGACATAATACTACAGGAGAGCAAGAAATTGTATATCTTTTGTTATTTGTTTTAGTTGATAGTTTTTGTATTCGGATTCGTTTAGAAGATATGTAGTATTTTTAACATAATTGTGGAAATCGATTACGTTAATTAACTAAGATTATCATGCTATTATTTTGGATAAAAGCAGTTTTAAAAAAAACTTCTTGAAATCAGGTTGTTTTGAAATGAAAATGATAAAATTATGATGAAATGAAAAGTCATATATTTTCAACACATTGTTTTATTCACATCATTAATAGTCTATAAAAACACTAAACGTATATTCCACAATCCTCTTTGTTACACTCGTATTCAGTTACAACAATATTGTCTTCTGTTTGATCCTCGTTCACCAACATTGGATAAAAAGCTATATTAAAACGGAGAAGCATGTGGATAAGTCTCTTTGATAAATATTCTTATGTTAAACAACAAATTTAAGTGGGACAGAAGGGCATTCGAAACCTCAGTTGCACCATAGGGAATTTCTTAAAACAAAAGAAGTGACACGCCATCTACATCTCAGTAGCCAAAAACTTTGGATAAAAGCCGTTTTGAATTTTGCTGCTCAATTTATAAAAGTTATTTTGAAAACTGTATTAAGTATAAATCAAATCTAGCAGGACGTAACGTAAAATTTAATGTTAGAAATAGTACCAGCCTGCGCGCGACGGCCAATAGATATTTACTTTTCATTATTATGAAAGAAACCGATACTACATTACTAATAAAGTGAGAGAGAAGTGCGAATTAGTCCATTTAAAGACTGATTCCTATTAGAGCATCATCGAGCAGCGCGTCACACAGCAGCATAGGCAGCATGCCGTAACATTCTAACGTAAGTATTCGCACTTGAGCAGCATCCAGTAGCAAGCGGGCCAACAAGCAGCAAAAATAATTAGTTTCGTGTTTATCTTGTAACAATGTACAAAGCAGAGGAGACCTACCACTTCATCAGACGATAATTTACTGTTAATCACTGTATGTCATCAACTTGAAGAAAATAACAAAAAAAGAACCGTTCATGATGTATTTCGAACAAGGTTGAATTTCATATATTCTTCAAGCGACTCTAGGATGATAAACGAAAATTTTATACCTATTAAAAAAATGACTCCAGAAAAATGTAACCAGTTATTCGAACTTGTACGTATACGTTTAAGTAAGCAAAAGGTCACATATTTCAGTGCTACATGCATTGAAATATGTGACCTTCAACGCTTCGGAGATTCACACTTGTCCGTCAATGAAAAGAGCAACACGTCGAGAAGCAGCAATGCTGCTACCCAATGCTCACAAAGGAATTTAAACTTTGCTGCTGTATGATGCGCCGTATTACGCGGCGCCGCCGGCCGCAACACTTGAGTGAGAACAGTAACATTTAATAACATGCATATAATTGTAAGCAGCATGTTACTGTGCTGCTCAGCGCTGCGACTCGCTATTTGATGCTGCTCTAATGGTAATCGGCCTTAAATTTGACTAGAATACTGTCAATTTTTAATGAAAATTTTACCGTAGGTGCAAATTTATCTTGAAAAATATTAAAACTATGAAGAATAAAGTATAGAATAATGACTACATACACCTACTTGTATTTAGTCGAGTGGTAAGGACACTTGCCTCTCAATTTGGAGTCCCGGGGTTCGATCACCCGTCGAGTACTTGGGAATTTTTCCAAAGTAGAAATTAATCCTTGCGTACTCGGATACTGTATGTGTCTCTAAATGTGTAGTTGCTTCCCACACAACGTACAACAAGTATCTTAAGGATACAGGGGGTTGTATTACCTGTGGTGATGGAGTTTAATAAAATATACTAATAATGCAGAGTTAGCAAACATGCTACTCGATCTATAATGTATAAGAAGTTTGACTTTATCCACGAAAAACTATCTATATAACGATACTCTAACCGCTCGTCTGTGGTAGTGTGGCAGCATTATTGCAGGGTATGCGTCGCGAAAAAACCGTCTAAAATGAACCTAATCTAATCCGAACTACAAGGTACAAAAAAAAACAAACAACACCATTTTACAGAGACAACTCTAAACGACATTGTTTTATAGCGATAGATGGTCTCATCGGCAGCTTAACTTGGACAGACGCGAATGAATTTGACAAAAAAATTTCTTTACCCGAACTATAAGGTACAAGAAAAATCAGTATACAAATCGATTTGTATATTCGTGAATTTTTCAAATTTGCCACGGTAGACGAACAATTTGGCAATCCCAGCAGATACAAATAAAGTAGATGCGTGAGTGAGACGAATAAAGGCGGAAGATTAACGTGGAAGTGAGACAGAGTGTTCAAGATATCGCGAGGTATTTTTTAGGGAAAATTTCACATTTGTTTTTTAATCAATAAAATGTGTCTTCTATAGAGTCATTATGGCAACCTAGGTATTTTTTTTGGAATTTTTTTTGTACTGGGGTGCCCTGGAGAGAATTATAGTGGAAATTTTTTGACATAATAATATTTACCATATATATTGAATACAGATTTAAAAATAAAAGCATATGTTCTTTTTATTAGTCATACAAAGCCTTCTATATTATACTGTCAAAGTAAAAATAAATTTGGCATTATTTAATTAAAAGCAACTTGATGTGAAATTTTCTTACCGAATACCACTCAGGGTTAAATTAAAAACTGAAAATTTTTCATGAATATTTTAAGAACCTCTTATAAAAAAATTTAACCTCTAGTGGTGTTACATGTGAAAATTTCACACCGCTCTTTTACAACCAATCAAATGCTTTTATTTTGATTCATTGCCAATGGCAACGGGAAAAGTTCCGGAAATTTTTTCGTCCTGGGTACCCTTCGTACGATTACACTGGAAATTTTTCTGTCAAATTTTGACACAAGATTTACTAAATGACAATAGGTATACATTGATTTAAATACCTTGAATGATAACATCTAAATGTTCTTGGAATTCTACTACTCTTTCTGTTATTAATAGTGAATAACAGGGAGTAAGCGAACAGAATTTATTAAATGTCTGTGTTTAATAACATAAATATATATATATATATATATATATATATATATATATATATATATATATATATATATATATATATATATATATATATATATATATATATTTTTATATATTTATATATTATACCGTTTATCCGCGACGCCCCTGTAATAACGCTGCCACTTTGCCTCGGCAGTTGGGCGGTTAAAGTATAGATATACAGATAGTTTTTAGTGGATAAGTCAAACCGTTTGTACCTTATGGATCGAGTTGCATGTTCGCTAACTCCCGGTCTATAACAATGAAGTAATTTCCACAAATATTAAAACACTGCATTCGATATGCGCTTCACCAACAAAGTTGGCATCATCTGAAGATAAGTAACATAAGTTTTATTCACCTCTAGATGATACCAACTTGGTGGGCAAGACGTTCGTTTAGTATAATATCCTAATTCAGTGTGACTAACGGAGGTCCAAACCACTTTAGTGTTATAGTAGCCTAGGTGTCTATTCATAATGATGAAATAAATATATTTCTCATATTTTTTTTAGGTATTTTTAAAATCATTAGTCATCTTTTATAAAAAATCTAGCGTGAATGATTTGCTCCAACGGATGAAACAACAGTTTTGGAAAATTGATGATATTGAAGATGAGGAACAGAAAAATAGCTATTTAAGCGAATCGAAATTTCTGAAAGATATTTTTCACTTGTATCTGATTAATGCTATAATTGGTTCATCAGCTTTCGTCTTTAGTACCTTTTTAGTCGATGGAAATCATTTACCGTTTGAAATATATTACCTAGAAAGGACGTTTTATTTAATATTATTGTGTGAATGTATAATATTTACATTTGCTATTTTTATGCCTGTAATTGGTATGGATTTGTTGATATTGTCTATTTTTTTGTTGACCAAAAGGCAATTTAACCTGTTAAATCAGGAGATAAAGAAAATGTACGATTCCAACATAAACGCAAGAAATGAAGATATGAAGATATTTGATAAAAAACTTAAAAGATGTGTTGACCATCACAGTTTTTTACTGGAGTAAGTTTTCTCTTTCACTCATAGAACATTTTTAACGTATGCCCCTTAAAATTGCAGAGAATATTTGTTTTGAATTAAGCCACAATATAGGAGGTATTTAAAAAAAATATTCTGAACATAAAGAATTATTATAGAATTCGTAAATAGCAAACACAAAAATATGAACAAATACATTTTCAGAGCGACAAAAACATTTAAAATAAACCGAAAAAATATGTATTAGGAACAATAACAATAAAAAAATTTGTGCATATTTATTGAGATTGTACGTGCTATTTTGATATTAATTATCAGTAAATCGACTAAATGATCGTGGTCCTCAAACATTTTTTTATATATTTCAGTTTCGAAAATAATTCTTTTGCTGTTGCATGGTATGCATATCGGTAGGGCATAATGCATATATCGGGCAGGTGACTAGATAATAACAATGAAAGTTAATTATTTACATCCAAATCAAATAAAACGTTGGAACAACATTTTTATACGCGCTAAATTAGTGAGTTATTTATAAATTAGTTTTCATTAACCGGAAAACGTATTTGTGATAAACCTATTGAAGAATAGCAAAACCGTCAGAGAATTGTTAACACTCACAAAACGTTGAGGAGACGTTTTTGCAAACCTGTAAGAAACTTAGTTTTGCCAGTGGAAAAAAAGCAAATTATGGGCTTTAAAGGCAAGTGTATTAGTAGTGGAAAGAAAGGAACATGTTCGTTACTAAAAAATGTTTTACAAAACGTGTCCTTATAACGATTAATAATCTTTCGAGTACCAGCGTTCTGCAACGTTGAAAATATCTTTAAAGAAACGTCTTTATAAACTTCTTATAAAATGTTTATTAGTGGTGTAAAATACGTAACTCTTCGTTGATTATTAAACGTTACAGTTATGGTTCAGAAACGTCACTTACGACGTTGAATTGTGATCCAAATTAATCATTAATTAACGTTGAGAAATGCCTTGAGATGTTTTCATTTTATTATTATTCAAGTAATTACTAAACGTTGTAAAAACGTTACCATATTCTCACTGGCTAGCTACAAAATGAAACATCTATTTTTTGGATTTAACTTTTTTTTTTTGAAAAATGCACGAACTTGTCGATTTATTATTTTCAAAGAGACGCTTATTGGGTATTATCAATCATGCCACTTCAAACCTTGGAGCGGTGGTGGAATCCAACCCTAACATTTTAAACAGCAAAGGGGTAAATTAGCACATGGCTCGTTAAATTCTCTTTACAACTACCAATTTTCTAAAACTACATCTAATACTAAAGAATATAATGAATTACTTCCGGAGTAAATACGTCTTAAAGTATTGATATTTTTGCTTTGTTTTCTTTTGTTCACACTGAAGGTAAAACGGCAAAACAATTAGCTGATATTATTAAAGCAAGACAATAAATTAATTATTTGGTATTAGAACGCAATTTCTTGCAAACTATTTTAGCACAAATTTAAAAAATAAATTACCATTGTAAAGAGAATTTAATGAACTTCAAAACCATGTGCTACTTGACCTGCTTGCCAATTAATATTTTAGGGATTAATCCACCACTGCTTAAAAGTTGAAGTGGCGCAATCGAAAATACCCAATAAAAGTGTTACGCTTGAAAATAAAATCGACGGGTTCGAGTGTTTTTCGGAAAAATGGGTTCAAATAGAAAAATACGCCTATTTCATTTTCGGCGGCCTATTCTGTATTTTACGATAGTATACATAATTTTTGGAAAAAAAGTTTCAAATTTACTACACACATTTATAGCTGCTAAGGGAAAGGATAAGTTCATTGGTGAGCAAAATAGGCTTCTGGAGGGGTCCGCGGGTTCAATTTTTTTTAAATTTTACAAAAGAAAAGTTGAAAAAACATTATAAATTAGATCTAATATATAAAGCCAATGAAATATTTTGCACAAGTCTTTAAATAAATCTGTAATAGTCCAAGAGCTGGCGTCCAAAATGTGCAAGAGTTTTCTCAAAGCTAATTTTTTGAGATTAGGTTACTTTTTAGTGATGGAAAATAACTGTAGAGTCAGCACTTCCGGTACCGGGACACCTGGCGCTGAGACGCTCGCAAAGGTGTAATATTAATTAACGTCTCTAAACTGTTTTCTCAAAGCTCAAAATTTATAGAGAATGAGCAAATATAATATAAAACAAGAATCCAACAGTCAGACAGCAAAATATAGGGACACGTGGCGTCAGCGCTACTTCATAACTGTCAATAAAATGACGTGTGTCAAAGTGAGTTCTCAAAGCCGAAATTCTCCAAAACATTAATTAAAACTATAAAGTTAATAACGGAGACAGTCAGATTCATTTATGATAGGACCACGTCAGTCAGTAGTCGATAGATGTGAGAACGGAAACTGCGCGCATTAGTACGCCTTTTCTCAATACATATCATTTATTTTATATAAAAAAATAACTTTAATTGTTTCTTAATAATTGTATTTGTTATATATCAGTTATTATATAGATATCAGTTATTTTATACAAGAAAAAATAATTTTAATTATTTTATAACAGAAAAAAAATTGAAAAAAATATCTAATCGTCAGAATCATTGCCGTCGTCGTGTTCTTCGCCACTATCTTCATCAGAATAAAACGCG